TAACCAACCTGAAATGCCAAACTCTAAATGCCGGTTCAAGCCTAATTTTTTCAGAGCAGATTCACCTTCTCATTTCAGAAAACTTATATCCCTTTGTCAAACTTGGCTTCAAACAGGCTTAACTGAGTTATACAAAATGCATATTTCATGTCTCTACCAAAGATTAGAGATGAAACCACTTGATTCAGTTTGTCACATCTGACCTTTAAAAATCTATTCAAGTCTATTCAAAATTAAATACATCTCAATAAAGCTTTGGATTATTCCCAGGAAATGTGAGAATTAAAGGGAAATGCTGGCTCTGGGCTTATAGCTGACTAAAACAAAAAAAAAATTACAAGATCTCTCCTGAAAAGTTTTTAAATATCTGCAAAACCCAAGGAAGTGACAGAAGTACCTAACAGTCTTAATATACCAGAGAGCCAAGTAAGTTTGCTGTAGTCAGGACTTATTCTCTCTCACCCAATGCCCTGAGCAACATTTTGCAGTTCCTCCACTGTAGATAGAAAGTTTTAACAAGCCAAGGAACCAGAAGCCTTTGAATAAAATGCCAAACTTTTGGTTGTGCCCTCTTGAACCCAGGATGAGTGGGCCCTGTCTGTAACAGAACAATGCTCTCCTAGAGCTCATTTGAGAGCCAGGTCTGGGGTCTCCTCTTCCTGCCTCTGCCTTTCTCCTGTTGCATGAACTGTGTGTCTCTTCCAAACCAACATTTGCCCATCTATAAAAAATGTAGGATGATATTTATCCCAGAGGGATGTTTTGCAGTTTTGTTTGTGAAATCTGGTGACTCTGTGGGACAAAATTGGGTGAATGCAAAGTGTGATTCCTTACGGGTGAGTGACAATAGACTTTGGATTTTTCCCTATTGAACTAAAGTTACTGGGCAGAACAGTTGTCTCGGGGGCCTTGTGTGGCTTGAAAACCTTACTTCTGACCTGTGTTATCTCCTGGTCTTCTTTTAAATTTTGCTGTAGCAATGCATTTTTTATTCATATGAAGGGATTTTATTGTGTTCCTGTGCTGCATGACCTGGAGCAAGGACTCTGTGCATGGCTTTGCCTGGTGTCAAGTCACTCAGCCCAGCTATGAACAAGTTATCTCTAGATTTGGGTGCTAAAGCCCACCCCAGCCAGACTGCTCTGGAGATCTAAGCCGGTACTTCTGTATGGTGTTAAACTGGGATATGCATACCTCCTCTAGGGACTAGCCTGGGGTTTCTTGCTGAACTTGTGCTGAATAGTGTAGAAGGGCCTCGTGTCTTTGCATCTCCAACCCTATCCTCTCATAATTCTTTGGCTGTGTCTGTCTCAGTTCGTTGCACAGTGCCAAGCATCCAAGCTAGCCCCAGGTTCTTGGTGGTACTTATGGTCTCCATGCATCCTGCCTGCAGGTGCTACAAGCCTGTCATTCCCACCCTAGAGCTGTGGAGGTCGTTGTCAATTCCTATGAACATATCAAATCGACATCTAAGTGGAAAGCAGCCATACCTGAGGATGTCTTTCAGGTAAGCTCTCAATGATTTGTAATTGAGTAAAATGCAAACTCATTATTTGCATAACCCATATCCAAACATAGGAAAGAAATAATACTTTTGAAAGAGAAGAACATCTCAGAGGATTTGGGACTTCCCCATTTAATATCACTTATTTGACAAAAGCATATCATTCACTGAAAAAAAGACATATTTTTGAGAAATTTTCATTGCAACATTACCCTTTGGAGGACCCCTGTCAGTGGTGCTGCAGAAGCTCAGATGTCCCTGTATTCAGCAAGTGAAAAGATTCTGGCTGTATTGGTGTTTCTTCAGATCTGTCAACGTATATATTTATATATATTGTTAAGTCAGCAAATGTTTTAAAAGTGCCATATAACATGGGTATGATTATGTATCTTTAGGTTCTGTTGCATGGGTCAGGTTTCTGTGAACAGGATGGCTTAGCTGAAAATGCAAGGAGAATTTAAATTAAAAATAAGTGATTAAAAGAAGAAAAAATGTGTCAAAAGGCAAAATTGTGGGACAAGTTACATGCTTTTACATAATTATCCCTTTAATTCAGAAATCCTCATAGTCCAAATATTCCAGTTTACAACTAGTTTATTTGTTAATACTGGACTTTTCCAAAATTTTAAAATCAGTGCTGAAATGCAGCAATATCTGCTATACATTGCCAGTAGATTTAGGGAACTCCATCTGTATTATAAAGAAGAGTTATATTCCCAGAGAAACTGTGAGATTTTGTTGGGGTCAGATTTGTTCAGAAAAAAAAAATCATTATAGTGAAAACAAAATTAAAAGTTAAAGGTCTTTTTTCACCTTAATAACAGCAGCAACAACAATAATAATAACAGTAAAAATTTTTATTCAAACAAAAATATTAATCTGAAATTTCGGGGCATTCTTATTTAGAAAAGGTCACAGTTGCTCTATTTCTTTGTTGAGGTTTTAATTTTTGTTGTCAAAGCTGAACTTATCATGAAATTGAAGAAAAACTTTTGTTGACCCAAATGCATACTTTACTGTACATAAAGCATAACCTGAAAATACATGTAACCAGATCTATCAAGTAACAAGATTACAAAATAAGGTCAAGTCACATGTAGTCACATGTATTTACCATGTGCTTTGGAGTTTTTTGACATTATTTGTAAGCATCTGCACTTTTCTGCTCATGGGGATGCAATTTCATATATTCTAGAAGGCCACTGGACGATGAGTAAGACCAAAACTACTCTGCTCTTTACAGCCCCAGTGAACTCACTGGTACCACTGGCATTGTGCTGCCTCACTGCCCCGTGGTGAGGTTTAGAGGATTAACTCACCCATGTGCTCTGACCCTGGGCACACTACAGGGTCTGTTCAGTCCAAGACTTACACCACAGAGGAACCCCCTCCTCAAAATGATGGATAAGGCATATCAAACCTGCAGACCAAACCTAAATATTTCATCATTGTCTTTCACTTAACACTAAATATTTGGGGCAAGCATAAGAATTTTGTGCAGGCATTTTGGCTAAATGAAGCCCCTGGTTCTTGATGTGCCTTCAAGCGACAAGATGGCAGGCTGTGCTTTTGACCTTGTTCTGCCAAGGGCTACGTGTGGGCAGGGGAAAGGGGAGGAAGAAAAACACCCTCATTGCCCTAAAACACGTTTGTGGCTTTTTTACAGCGGCACCAGGATTTCTATGACTCTCTGTTCACCGTGTGCAGCAATTCCCCACGGTCACTCATGCATTTATGCAGATGTGCGATTCGGGCAATATTGTCAGAAAGGTGCCATCGGGGAGTGCCCTTGCTCTCCATCCCTCTGCCCATAAAGAAGTACTTGCTGCTGGAACCAGAAGGAATCATCTACTGAGTTGCCACAGAGCGGACGCTGGTTTCTCCCTTCCCGGATCCATATGCCTGTGCAGGGTCCCGGAGCTCCAGACACAATCCTGACACAGCCCTTTGCATGTGTCCATTTGCAAGCCAGCCTGAAGCTGGGCTGGGATTTACCAGCTCTCCTTGGAGCTGCTTTCTTTCCCTACACCAAGAAATCACAGCTGCAGCTGCAGTTTGCACTGGGGAGGCAGAGCTGGAAAGGGCCCCTGCTGCAAACACACATGGGCACATACTGCCATGCTTTGTTTAGCCTAGCTTAAACGATGCTGCTGCTTCCTTTAGTATTTATTACACTGCCTGCGAGATAGCATTAGATTCAATCTGTACAACTTTTGATACTGTTTCACTATAATCTTCTTCAGCTGCCCTTTTGGGAGTAAAAGAAAGGATACTGTCAAAAAATAGGACATTTATTAGAGTCACAGAAATGTTTGCCCAGAAAGAAATGGGCAAAGTGCTTTAAATTGTGACCACAGACAGGCTTTCAGTAGTTTCTGTATATTCCTGTTGATTGAGCCTCAATTCAATGTTAGTTCACTGTTCACTACACCTGTCTGTTTCTTATAAAGCTTTGTCATAATTGTATCCTTTTTAATTGTAAGAAATTTTTCCTTTATCAGTCACAGTATGTGAACAGGATTGAATTGTTCAGCCCTGGAATTTTTGTACTTTGATATTCAAGCCCAGGTAGCTTTTAGCACGTGCTATCTCTGTTTATACTGTCATTGTGACCGATGATAAATTCACATCCCGGTGTCAAGAAATCAGGTGGAAAAGACTTGCCCCTGCAACCTGCGCAGCTGTACTTATGCCCATCCCTATATCTCTCAGGATGGTGTTGGATGCGATCTGGGAAGAATATGAATCCTTCTCTTCATTGACTATAAAATGAACCAAGCCTGCTAGCATGCTCTGCACCTCAGTTTTGGCAGCTAAGTGCAGGTGAGAGGAATCCCACCTTAACCAAAAGGTGTTTTGAAGATGAAGATATGTTTGCTGGGCTGTTACAGACCTGCCACTCCCCTGATCTGAAGACCCTGTGCTTTTGGACCTGACAGCACTGATTTCCTTTACTTCTGGCTGAGTTGCTTTCTCCAGTCCAGAAGGATAAAATGCAGGGCAGTGACAGTTCACACAGCAAGTATCCCACAGCAAGGGCAAGTGTGTGATCTGACCTACAGGTAAACTCCATTTTTCTTCCCTTTTTTAGTCAGATGCAATCCATCTGGGCTGTTTCACTTTTTTTAGACCCTGGCAATTCTGGGCTCTGTGAAGACGGAGGGGAGCTGTGCCCACCATTGGAAGCCAGTAACTCCTGACTTCTCATTGCACCTCTGACTGTGAAGCTGTCAGTCCTCATTGCTATCACTATGTCTTTGCAAGAGAGGCCCAGCCAAACAGGAGCAGCCAAGCTGCTCAAGTGTCTCCGTGTCTCACAAAATGGCAATAACAGCATTTGAAGAAACGTGGAGATTATTTAGTGTTACAAATTGCTTCTCTTTCCTTTCATCTCAGTTTTCATTAATTAAAGCTTGTACGCTGTGTTAGGAGAGCATCCAATTCATGGGTCTGCCTATGTTTAGCTAGACAGCAATGAAGATTGCTATTTAGCAGTTTCCAATTCCAATAAGGAATTTCAAAGCCAACACAGATGATGAGTAAATGCTTTCTTATGTGGATAAAACTGTAATATAGGTCCCTGTACGTCAATAAACTGATGAGCAATTTCCATACAGCTGCAGAGACATGTCTGTCAGAGACATTACAGTAGTTTACCACTACAGTAGTTTACTAGGCAGAATGATCAGCATCTGGGGCAGGTTGTCTATTGAAAAATCTGCTTGAGTTACCTCCAGGTCAATGGGATCCAATGAATTCTGCACTGAGGAAAACCAGTGAATCTGAAAGGACGAAAAAGGGTAGGTTACCTTAACCCACTGCTTTTCTAGGTGATGTATCTATCTAAGCCAGGCATGAGGAAAAGGATTTGCCGACTGGTCAGGGTAAGAAAGCATTTGTTGCTTTCTAACAGTCTGACAATGGGGCAAGATGGGCAGTCCAGAAGAGACAGATGGAGATACATGATTTTGTTGGGAATGCGTCCCCACACTGGCTGCTTCTGAAAGCAAAATTCTGCCTCTGGAAGAGAGATGTTTAAGGCAGAACAATAGCACTGTTTTCTGACCTGTCTTAGCCAGGACTCTCTTGCTGAGAGGGAAATAAGAAGGCTGTCACTAGTGTTCCTAAATTCCCTCTGATCCTCCCCTTCTGTAGCGAACATGCTTAATTTTTATTCTGTGGGCACCCAGGCTCACTTCCAAGCTTTGTACCAAGCAGGTGCTAGATTATAGCCATTGTGGTATCTGACAGAGAGCACAGTGGGATCAGTCTGATTATAGTCATAGGAATTTGCAAGCTGTTAAAAACACTAGAGAATATCCCAGTCACAGAAAAAAATGTCCTGATTGATGCACTTTAATTGCTTCTGTTGTTGAAGTTAGGAAGACCAAGAGTAAGCAAACCTTAGTATTTGTTAGTATTTTTAGCGTTTTTTTTCCCCTCAATTGCTGTATTCTATTCCTACACACCGGATGGAGTAGCTCATGAGAGGAGTGGGAATACTTGATATTAAGATCATCTTTTATTAAATTCATGGGATGCACAGTCTTATTATTATGACTTAGTGGAGATGTCTTGAAATTTCATACTGCCATATAATTCCTGATCATGCTTTTATATTTTCAAAGCTGCATCAGACTGGATGGTTGCACATGGAAATAATGAGAAACCTCTACACCACATGTTCGAGCATAGTCATGACCTAAAAGGACAGAAAAATGTTTTCAGGGTTTTTTGGTATCTTCTGTGAAATGAGAAGATTGCTTTTTGCCATTGGGCTTCCCAGTAGAGATGTAGCCATGTTTGAAACATTTCCACTGCATTCCACAGCCTATTAGAATATTTAAAGCACAGATGGGCACAAAGAATGAACTACACTTTCCTATTGGCAGCTCTTTCCCACAGCTCCCTTAATGACTTCTCGGTGGATAACATTCAGACTCTAGGGTTTGGTTCTCATGCTTTTTTGGGAGGTGCTCTCAACCCACATGCATTGCGGACAAAAAAAGTTACCCCTTCTATGACTGTAGGGACACTCTGCGTGTGTTTGTGGGCCAGTGCAGAACCATAACTCAACTGCTCATGGAAATATGGACATCCTCTTTGTAAAGTGCTCTTGCAATAATTTTAAACTTAGTTCCTGATGCCCTATTGGATTCGGGTTGACTCAAAACTCCAATAATTTTTCTGTGGAGAGTCCCTAAGTGAAACTGAAGTCTAACAGCATTCAGGACTGTATTTCCCTGCAAAAGCTTTAAATGGCTATTCATACTTAGAGTAGATACTGGGACATTGAGTCCAAAAGAGGTTGGCTGATTTAGCTCTCCAACATTGCTGCCTGTCCTGCCAACAAGAAGAGGATCCAGAGCCTGCAGAGTGTCATCTCAGGACATTGGAAGAGGAAGCAGCAAATGTTGACCAGTTCCCGCTCAGCCTTCAGCCAACATTTTTAAAACTTTCACTATTTGTCCTTGAGACAGTCTAGTTTCCCAATGCTGCTGTTGGCAGTGGAATTAAGACCAGAAGGTTGCACAAGGCTGAAAGATGTGCTAAGTAGGTCTTCTCTCCAGAAAGGGGGCTTTGGATAAGTATCAACAACTGTTCCGCATACAGAGTGGTCCTAGAACATGATACCAGTTTTGTCGATATGTTCATTACTGGTACTTAAAAATCAGTGTCACCCATCTCTACTCCAAAAACAAGCTTCCTGATCAGAATGGCTGAATGGTATCAATACTCAGCCTCAGGACCTTCAGCACAAGGGGATGCTGCTTCCACATCCCTTGCTTTTCTCATAATGGACTGCATGAATATGAGTTTGCCTTATAAAGAGGAAAAGGTTCATAGCCCAAAGCAAAATATAGGGCATTAGGTCACCTGGCACAGGCAGCCAGGACTTCATGTCTTTCTGTCCTTAGCATTTGCAAAGCCAGCAGAGAAAGGGGTTGGGTTGTCTGTGTCCCTTTTCATGCTGTTATATGGCATTGTCACTAGGGGTCTGTGGAGGATGATGAGGCTGTCTGCATCATCTTGTAAGGATTTGGACCAAACCTCGCGACTACATGAAAGCAGAATGGTGTTGAAATACCTATTTTGATTCTGGCAGCTCTCCATGGGTCTGTGCACATGTTGGCAGGTGTGAGGAGACCTGCAGAGATCCCAGTCAAAATCTTTGACCTGGTTTCAATTGGAGTTTTCAACACAAATCAAGCTGAAACAAATAAGTTCCCGTAAGTGTTTTGGCATCAATGAAATTTTACTTATTCACAGACACTTACCATCTTGGAAAAGCATCTCCTATCTTTCCATGGGGCAATATCTTACAGCATATACACCAGTTTTGACAGAATCAAGTTAACTGTTGTGAACATGAATTTATACAAATCTCCCAGGCTGAGCAAGACTGACTATTTTTGTAAAATGCGAGGAACAAAAATATTAAGCAGCAGGGGCAAAGTTCTGGTCAGACATGAAAGGTGGCAGCTTTACTTTTAGCTTCCAGCACTGCTGGATCTATTAAAATGTTCACAGGGACTCAGCTCATTCGTATTTGAGGAACGTCCTTTGAAAGCACACTAATGCTTCTGGCAGCAGATTTTGCTCATGGGACAAATACCTTTAAATTAAACATACAAGAGTTCAGTCTTCAAGATTGAAAGGAAGATTGAAACAGTTTGGGGTGGCCTATGCTATTATGTACCTTTATTAAACTCTGAGAAGCCAAAGAGGCATGACAGGTTTTCAAGGTGCTGGAAGGTTTGCAGGGCTCTTGAAGGGCTGCTGTTGCTTTTCTGAAACACTACAAGATACAGATGGGTCAGATGCAGCAATATTTCCATTTACTTTCAGGATATGGCAGTAGAATTTCCCTGTAATCCCTAGGGTTTGCACTTCTACTAAATGATAGTGCAGAACATGCTATTAGCAGAGATGCCAAAGCCTAGCAAGTGTCTGACACCTTAACCTCTCCAAGAATTATATTAAAGTAGTGAAAAGATCCACCACAGGCTCTATTTGTAGAACGGCAGGGACCTCTGGTACAGCAGACAAATGGGTCAGAAAAGATTGCTATATACAGCAACTGTCAGATGAAATCAGTTGGCTGCTCAGAAATTTGTTTCTTACTATTTCTGCAAATGCATCTCAAGCTTCCTAAGACACAAAGTGGAAAGAGATGATGAATATCATGCATTCCAATGACCTGTTTGATTTTAATACACAGTTAACATTTTCTTAGCGTGTGGCAGCTGTGTGTTGACCTTTACCTTGCACAGGCACCCTATGGAGTGCTGCTAAATTACAATTAAGGCATTCGAAATGAGGACATCAGGGCATGTGATGATTTTTACACCACTGATGAACCGTTCAGTTCTGTTCCTTCAAGCTGGCGCTGAATAGCAATGCTGGTATCGGCCTTTTGCCTAGTGCCAGAATCACACCGTGCTTTAGCTTCATAACAGTGTGGTCGGTGTGGCTGCTCAGGCTGTTGATACTGTATTAGGCACTGAGTTATTTTATGCCAATAGTGACTGTACATGTGGAGTTGCACTGCCTCAGTATAGCTGTAAGCTTGCTGGTTATTTGTGGGAAGGAAGGGGTTTGAATCCAGACAATTCTGGTTGAGAATAGGGATCTTTAACTATTTCTAATAACCCTACAAAAATCACTAATTGGTTAGAGACTAAGAATATATCACTGCTAAGGTCTGAGGAAGAAGGTGCAGGAACAAAAGAGCAGGAATACACACGGAAAGTCTAAAACAATGCACTATAAAAGAGCGGACAGAACTGTGTGCCTTATAAATATATGGCCATTGGTTCACACAGTATGAAAACACAGATATTGCTGCAGGACAGGGTAGTGCCTAAGCTGGCTACAAGCACACAGCATTCTGGAAAGCACTGGCAAAGAGACATCACTGCAGTCAGAGCAAAGCCATTTCAGGGCAAAAAGTAATATTTTAACATTCATGCAGAGAAAACCTGTCCCTAAAGACCCAGTGACAGCAAAGTCCACTGAATTACACCTACATCCCAAAGGCTGAGCTAACCCTTTTGTGAGTCTATCCTGCTGTTTCCAAGTTTACTTCTGGGGAAAAGGTATGCAGCTGTCCTGAACTCAAGGGCTCTCTGTCAGCCTGTGTCCATGGTGACCATACCTTGTGGTGCCAGCAGCTCAGAATGATACCTTGCTGGAAATTTGGACTTCAGTTTGTCATCTGGGTCCATTTCTCCCACAGTCCTGACCTTCCCTTCACTGAGGGTCTTTCGAGTGTCTCAATAAACCTGAGAGAGTTGCCATGCACATTCGAAGGTGAAGTTCTACAGCAAATTAGAAAAAGAATAAAAGAAATTAAATGTAAAACAAGACAATTAAACATTGTTTACTTAAAAATGAGAATCAGCACTTTGAGGGCTGTGAACTGTGACTTGTGATACTTGAATGTTATTATACCACAGGACTCCACTTGGTCACAGTCAGTGTTCCTGTATGCCCTTCCCCCTCAGGCACACTCAAAGGCCTGTTCCTGGCACAAAGGATTCATAAGCCACCAGCATGGGCTGCAGATGCTCTGTGGAGAGTAGATTCCTACTGCAGTGACTGCAAGTTCAAGGCAAACCCAAGCATTTTCTCCTGCACTTGCCCTCAGGGGCAGCTGAGGACTCTCGGGAGAACCTTAATAATGGGCAAATAAACAGATGCATATACAACCCTAGCCCAGGCAGATGTGTGGCTTTAGCAAGCTTGGATGGAGGCATCCAAGAGACCCTGACTCAGCTGCAGAGAGCTGGATCACAGAGGTCTCTGTAACCCAGTTCTCTCCTACTTTTCTTTCCAGCTGTTTGAAGCTCCACTGGTACCTGACATGTTGTGCTGTGGCCATCACAGTCCCCTCTTGCGGGTCACCTGACACAGCACCTCCGTGCTTTTCAGACGTACCTGAGTTACACACTTGGTGTCCCCTTAAGCTTTGACAGGGATTGCATCCTGCCTGTAGAAGATCAAGAAGGAGGACTCCTTTATCAGCTGACTGGGGCACACTATCCGCTGTTGCCTGGCCATGCTGCGAGTGTGAGAGGGTTTGATATCAAATGGCACTGAGTTCTGCCTGGTTGCTGGCACCAGCCTGAGCACAGGGAGAGCTGCCATTTCTGACATGGGGCAGGGAGAGGGGCAGAGAGGCAGCCCTGGCTGCCCTTCAGTTTCAGATGACCTGGGTGCACTGGTGAGATGGTAGGGAAGTGGCTTCAGGCAGGCAGGAGCAAACTGCAGGCAGCACCTGGAACAAATATGGGCTTGGACTTTGATGCAGCTCCTTCCAGCAGCCTGGAAAAGGAGGGAGAGCAGTGGCGTGACCAGCCTGGGCGGCTCTTGCTGACTCGACATAAACATGTTTTTAAGCTCCCGGTGCAGCCAGCAGAGAACAAACTGTCCCTGCTTCTGGCTCAGGAGGCTGCCAGAACAACGCCCAGAGGCACCACTGCTTCCCGTGGCCTCCAGTCCTGGCTGAAGCAGGCTGCGCTATATACTCAGTGTTTGTCCTTATAAAAAGAAAGGGAAAATAAATGGATGGAAAGCTGTAAGCAGAACAAAAGATCCAGCAGCTAGCAACTGAACAGCAGCTATGCATTTCCTGAAGGGTATTTTTAAGGTTTATAATTGTTCCCTTCTTATTTACAGTGCTGTTTTGTGTCCTTTTATCTAGCATTAGCTGCCAGTCTGCCCTCTGCTTAAACCAAGCTGCTCATGTCCAAGTGTCTGGAGCTCCACTGACTATGGGAGGCAAGCTTTGCTTTTTCAGGCTTCCAGCCTGAAACAGCTGGAATAATCTTCCAGCCATACTGAAGCAGGCCCTCACATTGTTTGGGGTTTGGACACTCTTAATCCTTTTTTTTAAAAAAAGCCTCAGCTGTGTGAAATGAGCACAAGCTGTGGCTAGTCACTGTGGTGTGCTATTATAGAGTCCTGTCCTGTCTCCAGACACGGGCAAAACCCCTTTATTCCATGTGGGCTCTAGGTGGCCAGGGACACAAGGACAAACTACCCACTTTGCAGAAGAGGGTCACACTTTTACCTCGGAGACAATGGCACCTAGACTTCCCCAGCATGGACCTAGGTTTTTGGTCTCACCTGGCTTGAACAGAAAGGGTGAGAGCTGACCTCCCTCTGATCTGGGCTGTTTGGGGCTCAAGGTTTTCCAATGAGTTTCCAGAGGCTCTACTGCATCAGATAAGGGGGATGAGCTGAAGCAAGAGCTGTCAGCCATTTCAGTGCATTTAAATTGGCCATATGTGCATACACGTGTTTCTTGTTCAACGTATCTTGAAGGTCTAAATATATTTCACATAATTCTCTTCCTCCTCTATGTATGGCACTTGATAAATTCCTCCAGTACAACATGTGCCATGGAGCTAATACAATGGGAGGTAATACAATGAGGCCGGTCTCCTGTCTGGTCTTGCACTCTGAAGTAGGTAAAATTAGTTTGCTTGCTGACTCCTAGAGACCTTCAGGGGTGTATGTGTCTCTTCTACAGATCAGCAGCTCAAACCATTTTGGCTTTGCCCACAATTCACAGGTGTCAACAGGAAGCATGTCACAAATTTCAGTGGACACCGTGTGAGGTTTAAAGATGAATTATTACTACTCTAGTATCTGTCATTTACATTGGTTAGTGTGTTGATTACACATTATATTATACTCTTTTATTGATTGAAAATGTTAGCATATATTAGAAACAAGTTACAGAAAAGAACAGTGAATTATATCAGCAGTTGTCAGACATATTTATAGAAAATCCATTGATTCATCACCTATATTTTGTATTCCATATCCATATTCTATTTAAGAACAACTGATTAATTGCTTCTGAATCTATTATATCAACAAAAAACCCCTTCTATAAGTGAAATCTTAACACAATTTACACCAATATACTATTATTCGCCTAGAAATGCTTACATTATTTTAAAACCCCAAACCTTCCAGTGTTAACATACTTTAAAGAAATGCTTAAAAACATTTATTTTACCCTTTCATTGTCAACAGCTTTGCTGCAATCTTCTTCTGTTCTTATGAAATGAAACAGCCCCCTTCTGAAACAGCATGCTGCTGAGAATAGACCTTCTACCCCAAAACTCTCATATCCCGAGGCAGTGGATGTATTCATTCCTAAGAACTGGGAGGACCTGCAGTTCTTCTCTGTTCTGTTTGACTGCTATAGTGCAGATTTAAAGGAAAGACACATTCTCTCCCTTAACATCAATACTCACAGGTGAGGAATATCATTCTGCTGCGGAGCAAAGGAGAAGGCAAGGACAATTCATTGGAGAAGGATGAAAACATCTCTTTTGGGCAGCTATGAATACAAATCTCTGTAATATAATTTCCAAGGTATGCCTGCGCCAATTTATGGCACTCCACTGAATAGTTTTGCCATTGTTCCAGCTGTTCTCACATGGATGTTGTCATTCAAAAGACAGAAGCCTGGAAACATGTGAAAGGTGTTACAATTTTTTTTTTTCTCAAGGAACTGATCATCCAGTGAACTCAAAAAATCACCAAAAGCTTTTGGAAGTGTGACACGCCTCTGAAGCACAGTTCCCATCCTTCAGCTACAGAAGATAGGCTCAGAGGATGCAGAGCCCGGCATCAGCAGCAGGAGTAGGAAGAAGAGAGGAACAGTAGGGCAAGGCCATGGAGGCAAAGCACAGGCAGGGATTTGGACCAGCAGAAGACTTCTGGGCATCTACACAAATAACATGAATAGTGAAAATTTAAGAATGTCCCTGGTCAGAGCTTGGAAATGAAGCTTCTTCACTGTGCGTTTATGTAAAACCTGAGGCAAAGCTGATTAGAAGTAAGGGAAAGTTGTCCATTGAGGTCAGAAGGTTTTATAACAGGTCCTAACTAAGCAGAAAGAAGTGCTTTTGTGTCAACACAGACATAGTTTTATGCCTGAGCAAACAGCTTCCTGTGGTCTGTGAAGCAATGACACGTACCTGGTAATACCAAGAGTGGTCCAAACCAGCTGATCCACCCCTGCGTGAAGGTTGAATTCCATGAGTAATACCCTTTGTAAGCACAGCCTTGACTTTGGGTCATCAATACCCTTTGCAATGCACATTTACTAACAATGCTGCATGCCACAGTGATTGGAGGAGAGAACAAGTAACTCTGGTAGGTATTCCACCCTGTTGCCCAGTTAACTGGTTAAAAATCAACCAGGAGTGTTGTGGGCAGTGAAGCTGCTAGGAAGAGAAAAACACTGAAAAAAGAGCTTTCAATGCATCTGATTTCCCAGTATGCCTCGTGGTATTTAACAATCAGCATCAGTTACAGTTAGCTCCTAATTTTCTGTAAAAGTTCCACCAAGTAATTGGTATTTGGATGTCCCAGGAGTAGTAAGCATGGCTCAGAACTCTCCAGCGGCACCACTGCCCTGTGGACTGCAGCGTGATGAGCCTCATGCTGTCTCCTATGGTCATGTGACACTAGGCACTAGGACCAGCTCCAAACCCAGACAGATCAGCAATGCCAGTAATGACAAGCTGCACAGAGGCAGCTCCAGGCTGACATAGTTTCTGCCAGCAACCAGTTCATCTGCAATGATCCCACTGGCTTTTGCTGCAGGATAAATATTGTCTGGGATTTTCCATTATCTATCCACCCTGGCCAGCAATGAGACAGCAGTGATGCCATTTTGAGCTCTGTATTTCCAGTCTCCCACAAACACAAAAAACTAGTAGGGGAACTTGAGTCATTTACCTAAACATAAACTTTCACTGATATTTTAGAAAGCCAGGAGTGTCCATAAAATGTATTTGCATGGGACTGGCAGGAATGACAAAGGACCTGTGAAAGATTTCTGGTCTTCCACAGTGACAGATGAGAGACAGGCAGAGTACTTCAGGCTTCTTCATATCGCACCAGGTATCTATTTTTAGGTAACTGAATTAGCTGGGAGTCAGCTCATATCTGACACCATCTGAACACAGGTGCCTACATGTGCCTCAGGTGTCTAGGGTCCCATCACAGTCTGTGGAATTCTGCCATTTGAGACAGGATCACTATTCAGACACCAGAAGTAGGTGTTTGCTTCAGAAGAAGCTGATACTTTCTGGGGTCCTCTGGATATACTGACAGTGTTCATAGGGAGCTTAGATACCCAACTCACACCTCAGCACACACATTGAGACCTGTACACAGTATCATGATAAGGTGTCATACTTGATGTGCCGAATCCCATGCCGAGGTTCTTGGTTTTCAGGCCCAGTCCACTACTGTGACAAAGTACAGAAAGCCCAATCTATAAAGAGCAATGAAAACAATTATTTCTTTTTTTTTTAACTTGATTTTCTTATTTGAGCCTTGCAGACTGGGCATATCTGGATTAACGTAAGCTGAAGTTTGCCTGTCCTAAACTAGAAACTCTCTGTCACCTTCCAGGAGGATGCTCTGAAGCCTCAAATAGTGGGATTGGTGGTAACTCCTCTTGCTGTATTTCCTACATCGCTGTTTTGTCTGGGTTTTCAAATGGGCATGACATCAGGAGGGCAGCATGAGGCTCATTCTTCGAGGCTGTCCCCCTCACACAGCAGGGAGTCAGATAGGTCCTTTCTTTTCTTGCCTCTTCCTGCTAGGAACTGCAAAGCAAGAGAGTGACACAGGGAAATCTGTGCTAATTCTACATGGGCCCATTTGTCACACTCTGTTTTGATTTTCTTTCATAGCTGCAGAAGTAATATTGAGGAGAGTTTGTGAGGAGCAGCTCCGGATACCCCCTACATATTTTTCTGCTTGTATAAAAATCTTACATTATTGAGAGGCCTCAGGCTGTTCTGAAAACCCAGGACTGTATTCCAGCCTCTTGCTGTGCCAACTGACATTCAAGACTGCGAGGAAGAATTAAGACTGCCCATGGGGTATTTCTGCCCTTTCCTCCCTTTGAGATGCATGGAGAGAAGCAGGACTGACTGAAGCTATCTACCAGCGTGTCCTTTTTTATCTCTTTGCTGACTGTGAGGAGGAGCAGCATTCGGCTAGGTACTGAGTCAGTCATTCTGTCTTGAATGTACATGCAAGCACAGACATGCAAAGCCACCTTAGGGCCTGTAACACAGGATCAGGACATAGGCATCTCAAATTATGTTATCAGTTTTTGGGAAATACATACCCAAAGATGTTAACCTAGAAGTGTCCCCCTTCCTCTTCACCATCCCCACCTCCAAAAATTAGC